ACCAACTGAACCACACCAGCCAGGGCTGTATTTATTTATTTTTTAATTTTAGTTTGTTTTATTTCGTTCATTGCTACAACTGTAAAGATTTTTTAGTATAAAGATATAATTGACATATAATCTTATATAAGTTTAAGGTATACAATGTATTGGTTTAATACATCTATATATTGTGAAATGATTAACACTGTAATTTAGCGAACACCTCCACCATGTCACATATTTATGGTTTCTTTTTTTGCGATGAGACTATTTCAGATCTAGTTCTTTAGCTACTCTGAAATGTATAATACAGTATTATTAGTGGTAATGGCAATGCTGTGTCTTAGACCTCCAGAACTTATTCATGTTTTAACTGCAAGTTTGTACCCTTAAACCAGCATCTTTCCCATTTTCCCCACCCCCAGCCCCTGGTAACTACCCCTGTCCTCCATTTCTTCTGCTCCAGCTCTTTTGGATTCCCCACACAAGTAGTATCAGACTGGCTTTGTCTTTCTCTGCCTGCTTTATCTCACTTAGCACAACGCCCTCAAGTGCATTGATATAGTCTCCAAGGACAAGACTTCCTTCTCGCTCATGGCTGAATAACTTTGCAGTATATTCTAATGCATAAATATAAGAATAATTGTTTTATATTTCTTACTTTGGAAGAAAAAGAATGTTCCTACATCTTTCTTTTTTTTAATTTATTCATTACAGTTGACATTTAATATTATTGGATATTAATTTCAGGTGTACAGCATAGTGGTTACACACTTATATAATTTCCGAGGTGACCCTGAGAACAAACCAGAGGGGAAGGGTGTCGGGAAGCTGGGTAAAAGATGAAGGGATTAAGAAGTACAAACTGGTACCTACTTCTTTCTAATGGCCAAGATGGCTGTGTAGGGAGATTGTCAATTTTAGAAAAGCCAAAAGACTAAGCAGACAGTGAAAGGTCTTGCAAATCTATCAAACGATATTTGGACACCTTTACAGTGATTTCAACCCACAACATCCTAGAGATTCCCTGAGTAAACTGATACCCCAGATGGCATCTCCCTCTGAATTTTTCCCAATTAAATATTTAACAGTAAGGAAATTAAGATATTTAATTCTCAAGAAAGCTTTTGAATCTTTCTGCAAATTTTTTGATACAGAATAGGGCACTTGGTATAAAGCTACTGTGTGTGTATGTTTCTGAAGAAAAAGTAGGCAAAATCTTTTACCTCCATGGAACTTAATTTCTAGTTGGCTAGACACACAAATGCATAAAACTTGTAGCATAACCAATGAGGAAAGATAGTATGAAGGCAAATTAAACCAGAAAGGGCAATAGGTCATGCTGGAGGTAGAGTGAGGGAGTTGCGATTTGAAATAAGGTAGCAGGAAAGGTGTCCCTGAGAATGTAACCTGTGAGTAAAGAGTGAAGGAGTCAAGCCCTGAGTGTGGAACAGGAAGTGCAAATGCCCTGACACATGATGTTCCGGGCGGGGGGTGGGGGGCAGCTGAGAGGCCACTTTGGTTAAACAGAGAGAGTAGGGAGGAGAGAAAAGAATATGCACTCAGAGAAGTGACGAAGGACCACGTGGCAAAAACGGTGGCTTTCACTTTGAGTGAAATGGGAAGAAACTGGAAGATTTAGAGTGAATTCGGGTGGGAGAATTTTTTTGTTGTTGCTGACATCATCTCTTTAAAAAGATTCACTTTAACAGAATGACCTAGGAAGAGGGAGAGATGAAGGGCCGAGGTGGAAGAGACCTGGGGGAGACCAGTTAAGAGAGATTTGCTGCTGCTCCGCCGATGTGGGACCTGAATGAAACAGAGAAGTTGAGGGCGACTCCTAATTTTTGGGGGTCTGAATGATTAGAATGATGAGGCTTTTCACTTACAGAAAGTGGGAAAACTGGGAGTAACTGCTTTGGCAGCGGGGAGGGGTGGGATAAGAGAGTCAGATAAGTGCACGTTATGTTTGGGATGCCAAGTCGAGAAAACCAGATGGAGATGTCAAAGAGGTAGTTAAATATCTGAGTCCCAAATTCAGAAAAATACCCCTCTTTATTGGACTGTAAATTTGAGAATTTTGAACAGAAAACTGGTAGGCCCAGTAAAAATCTCAATGAGTTAAATACACACATGACAGAGAATGGGTTTCTTGGGATGAATACTGTGGCCATCCAAAATTTGGAAGTGAGGGAGATAAAAAGGACTTAACAAAATGAACTGAGAAGTGACTAGTGAGATTGGAAGCAACCAGGTGACCCTAGAAAGTGAGAGAAGAAAGTGTTTCAAAGAGGGTGGAATGATCACTTTGTCAAATGCTGATAGACTCGAACAATTATGACAAAAAGATTCAGATTTAACAACCTGGGGACATTGTGATGTAAACAAAAACAGTGTCAGTGGGGAGATAGGGCAACCCTCTTATTTTCCAAATTTATGTAGTCAGTTATTTCTAGGCTGTTTCTAAACAGAGAAACATGGAGGTTTTTTTTTTTAGCTGGCCATTAATTGAATCCAGTATCATACTTTATCAATTTCAGTGCAACTACCTCTTATATTCCGCTCCTTCCCTCTGAATTTGTTTTCTTCTGGCCGAAGTTGATTTCAGCAAGGATTTGTGCAATAAATTCAATTTATATGTCATAAATCATCTTCACTCTTGAATTAGTGTTTAGCTAGCTATAAAAACGTAGGTGATAGTTTTTCTCCCTTAGCACGTGGAAAACGTTAGCCCTGTACCCATTGTCTCTGGCCTCTAATATTGCTCAGGAAGGCGACTGTCTGCACATGCTACTTCGGAGTTCTGCGGTTTTATTATAATGCATCTAAGTGTGGATCTACTTTTATTTTTATTTTACTAATATTGTGCAGCATGTCATGCGCTCTTTTAATGTGAGGCTTTGTTTTGTTTTGGTTTGTTTTCCTGCAGTTCTGGAAAGTTCTCAGCCAACTTCTCAAAAGTAATACTCCCTTGGTAATCCGTTAGTTAATTCTTTCCTTGTGACGAAAATCCTATTGGACGTATATTGGAGCCTTTCAATGTCACTGTTGTACTTGTCGCCTTTATTTTTTATCTTTTTGCCGAATTCTGGGCACAGTTCTTTGGCACCATCGCTTATTCTCTTTGGGGTTTTGGGGGAAGATATTATTCCATCTGAATTTTTTAGCGGCTGTGTTTTTGTTATTACATGTCTGTTTTTCATTCTCTCTATTCTCGTTTCATATTTGCCCATATTTGTTTTCGTAACTCCTTGCTCTCTCATATGAATATGACAAATGTTCTCACAGTCTTTTATCACATTGTTTACATTGGTTAAATGTGCTTATTAAACTAATTTTAGTTCACATGCAGGCATTCTATCCCCTGAGCCACACCAGCCAGGGCTAAAGTAAGTTTCGATGACTCTGGTTTTGTTTTTGTTTTTAATTTTCTGCACTTTATCAGGAGGGTATCCTTTTCCTGGTTGTGGAGTTAGGTCTCCGTTTTTCCGTGTTGTTTGGATTTTTTGCGTTCAGGCAGCATGTGGAGTGAGAGGTGTGTTCTCACTCTCGCTCGCTCTTCCTAACGTAGCGCTTTTCGCTTGTCCCTGCAGTCAGTCAGTCCCTTGATTCCCTCCGTCCCACAGTCACTCTTCCTCCAGCATCCCAGGGTTTTCTCCCACCCAGCAATGGTGCTGGGCACATATGTCTCTGACCCCTGACACCGAACCAAACCGGCAGGCTGCTTGGCCTAGGTCAGGCCTGATGGCATTCCCCATGTCCTCTCCCTCCTGTAGCTGGGCACACCGAGCGGTGCCCACAGTCCTTTCAGCATCCTTTCACGAGTAGCAGGTCCACACAGCCCCTGGTTCTGTGCAGGTGCCTGCACCTGGCCTCCCACTGCTCACAGTGGAGCGTTGTGTATGCAGCTGGGGTATGGGACCTCGGCAGCTTGCTGTCCCCACACCTGAGTTACAAAACGCCTGTGACGTTAGCCCCCATTTACTGACCACTCTGGTTTTCTGGTCTGTTTCTGGTCTAAAGAGATGCTTATGTTGTTTTCAAGAACATGGTATTTTTTAAAAGTATCTATCATTGTATTTAGAACTAAAAATTTAATTTTTAAAGCTCACAATGCCAAAACAAACTGAAGTGTTCCATGTTTTTAACATGCATCGTTCTCAGCTACACATACGGCCATGTGTGTACATGATTTACATGCACTGCATATTTTGGAAAAACATCACTCAGCAAAATTCATTCCTTTTTCAGAAACGTCATGCTAAATGTGATATTATTCTACTAAAACAAAACCTCATTTTTCATCCTCAGCAAAGTCCTAGATCAGGGTTGGGCTTACAAATAGAAAGCAGCTCACTAGGTCTGATCTGTGAGATGACAGGTGGGCCATCCTGTGTCCCCGCAGTTTTCTTATCTGCCATGAGATTTAATATAAATCCCACCAAAGTAATTCTCCTCGACTGGGTCACTGTCTCGATTAGGCCCCTGGAGAAAAAGGAGGTTGAGTATTTTTACAAAAAGGCGAGAGAGCGGCGAAAACACTCTTGATCTTCCTCACCATGTCATTAGTTAACAGCCTTGCCATGATGATTTCTGAAGCTCAGCTAACCTCACTGCAGACCGCAGTGAGGAAAAGGGAAGCACACACCCCCATAACCACTCAAAGGTGTTCCTACAGAGAAGCGAGTGCAGTCATTCTCCAGTAAGGAAGGAAGTTAAAAATAAAGCTCCACACATGCTATTTACCTTGCCAACTGGTTTTGATTATGTGGCGAGATTGCTACTAACACTTCACCTAGCAGATAATGTTCGAAGTTTGTCCCCAAAGCTTTTAGGGTATTGTCCTAAAAGCTGTCCTGGAGAACTTTTCATTTGACTGCCGAGGCCTATTTGTTTTCCCTGTTTCTAAACCACCTTCCTGCCCCCACCCTGTAGTCAAATTTTGCTTGCTTTTGGGACAGGCAACTTACCTTTATTGTCACCTTTTTTCATGCCTCATGTTTTCTCTCTTCTTGCAGCCAGTCCAGTGGCAACGCAGCTGAAATGCGAAAGAGGCAGCAGCCGCAAAATGAAGGAGCACCTGCCGTGTCCCAGGCACCTGGAAACCAGAGGCCCAACAACACATGTTGCTTCTGTTGGTGCTGTTGTTGCAGCTGCTCCTGGTACGTGCTGTTACCTCTCAGAACCGTGCCTGAGCTCAGTAATAACCAGAGTGAGCGTGCGTTCTGAGGGTCACACGAACTTCGCAATCCATCTTTTGCTTTCTTTAAAAGTAGGAATTATTAGAGAAGATCATGGACTTAATGCAAACATTTCCATATGTGACATATATTTCCTCAAAACATATATTTAAATTGATAGTAAAGGATGCAAATTATTTTATAACATGTTTTTCTTCACCCATGCTTCTTAAAGATACAGGGAAAAATAAGATGATGTATTTGTTTAACTATGAATGACATTCTCCAATGTTACAGAAGGTGCAAAGACACTAAGATAATACCTAGCAGTGCCGTATGTCTTGGTCTTCAGTCTCAGAGTCAGAAAACTAGAAGCCAGGGGGGGCAACCTCATCCACAAGAGAATCGACAAAGGCAGGAATGGCAGTGCCACGGACTCATGTTGACAGATCTAAAGGCCAGGGGCTGTGATGGGTCTGAAGGCCAAGTCAGTTAATTAAAAACTCTGAACTTGGAGCTGGAGACTCTGCTATCCAGTGTGATTTTATCACTGACAGGCTCTGTGATATTAAAGCTGTAACATCAACTTTTTTGGCTTCCTGATTACAGAAGGATGAAAAGTTCCACGAGCTGGTTCTCCAGGTCCCTTCTAGTGTTCAATGGCCGTGATTCAGGCACTTTGTAAAACCTGCTCCGGTTCCAAATTTTCAAAGTGCCTTCAGATAAAAAAAAGAAATAAGTGCTTTGGCCAGGTAGCTCAGTTGGTTAGAGCAACATCCTGCTACTCCAAGGCTTCAGGTTCAATCTCCCATCAAGGCATATCCAAGGATCAAACAATGAATGCATCAGTAAGTGGAGCCACAAATCAGTCTTCCTCTCTCTCTCTTTCCCTCTCTCTCTCCTCCCACCCCCCCTACCCTGCCTAAAATCAATCAATTAGAAAGAAAGAAATAAAAGCAGTAAGACCCAGAGCCCAAAGATATATGCAGATGAGATTTCTCAAGGGGGTGTTAGATTACTGGAATTTTTCATACAACCCCGAGTTTCTGAATCCTTTAAGACCCAGTTCACACGTGGATCTTCTGGGTTAGGGGTGGTTTTCTCGATCTCCCCAACCTAGTTCAAAAACCGAAAGAAAGGCCCAAGTGCTTGTAGGATCTCTACAAGTTTCCAACATCTGTTAGAGTTATCGTTATGATATGTTGACATGATGTTCTATCCTTGTGGCCAAAATAGAAGATGAAGTGTGTGAACTTGGTGTTGAACAATCAGTCTCTGAGGATCTAGAAAACTTGATTTCCAGAAAAACCAGCGGTTGGAAGATTTAAAGTGGTTTCTGTAAATATCAGAAGTACTCCCATGTGATGATTCTTTGTGAGGGGAAAGTCATTTATAATTTCTTTTCTTTCATTCTTAAGCCTAAACTATTATCAGATGAAGGAAATACGAGTTCTAAAGGAGGGACATATTTCAATAAAATCGTGCAGGTTTTTCTTCTGTATCGCTCCTAAAGAGATTATGGCACTCCGGTCTTGAGCCATGAAATACAGTGAATTACCACATGAGACTTCACAGAACAGGCGGTTCTGAATTTGAACTGCCTGGGTTCAAATCTCCTCGTCATCCGTCACTATCTGCTTGGCCATCTGAGGACTTGTGAGGTGTCCTCAGATTCCTCATATATCACATGAGAGCAATAAGAATCCCTGCCTCATAAGGTTTCTGTAAACATTAAATGAAACACAGAGGAGCTGTGAGAGCTAATACATTTAAGTATGCATTTAATAAAAGCTCGCTGGGCTATTAAATATTTCATATTAGAAGAATAAAATCTCTTTAAAGAGAAGTTTGTTTGAAATAAGGTATATTTAGTATTAGCTCATGGTTGTAATAGAAAAAAATGTGCTGGAACGGAGAGCTATTCTTATTTAAATTCTGTATAAATAATCCCAAATACGTTGTTACTCAGTGCTGAGAATTATACTTCTATTTCTCATTTGCACCATACCACGTTCCAGTAATCAGTACGTGGTTTTATTTACCTGCCAAATTTAATTCTCAATTGTTTGAGGATTAAAACATCAAAACAGCTAGAGTACTGAAGGTTCATTTGCTGTCAAACAGGTATTCAGCAGGATTTGCTTTTATTAATATTAAATGTGTACATTAAATAACAAAATATTTAACGTGAGCTCGAGAGCATTTCCTTGTCACAGAACACAGACTATGGATCTAGAACAGCCTCCGGAAACTTCACTGAATCTGGGTACCCCCAAGGTGATGTGTATTTGGACCCCAAATTCGGGGTGCATTTGATGGGTGTTTGATTCGTTCTGGAGTATCGTTGTCAAGAGCTGCATGTGTTAGCAATGAGTCGTGGATGCCTGAGTTAGGCTATAATATGCACAATCTATAAACTTCTATATATATAAGATGTGAGAGGTAATTTCTACTGTAAACTGATGAAAAAAATGAAAGTTAAACTGTCATGAACTATGGATGTTATCTCATTGCAGATGAAATGTCCTTTACACAGGCATTTTTAAAATATTATTTTTGCACTTTGAGTTTAGGGAAAAAAACTTGTAAAGGCTTATTAGAGTGAGGGGGGAAAAAGGGAAAAAATGTTCTTCAGATTTTCCAGGCTAGGTCAAAGGAGCAGAACAAAAAGAAACACTAAAAAAATGTAATTTAGGGACCAAAAAAAGTTAGAAATCAAAATATGAGTAACTCATTTGTAAATAGCAGCAGTTGTCATGTAGATTTTACCTCCTTTTTAGGAAATAAGAGTGCGAGAAAATATATTTCTATATCTAGTAATAAATATGAATACTTCAATCTAGCTTCACATTAGGGGTTTTTTAAACAACACAGCATTTCCCTCAAATTTGCATTTCTCATTCATATTTCATTGTCAGCTCCTCTCCTATTTAACTTTATCCCTTTCTTTATAAAATGATCACTGTGCTTTATCTGCAGGGGGGATGGTACAGAGAGGAAGTACATAACTACTGAATATTTCCAGTCTCCTTCACAAATCTAAAAAGTTTGGATTTTGTTCACAATGGCTAATTAAGCTGATCTGTCCTCTGTCCCTGTCAATGAACCATTTTCTTCCCCACATCAGTCTCTCACTGGCTCCCATTTCCCCTCACCGCCTCCATTCCAAGAAGAGAAAACAAGAGAGTGAGGTTTAGCCATTCCGTCTGTGTCACGTAAAGGAGTTGTGGAGGCCTGAGTCTGGGCCCTAAGATGAAGCCCGTACATTTGCAAATTGTGTTGTATGAGACCAAGCTGTTGCTGAGGTTCCTCTTTTATCAGGATGCAGACAAAACGACCTCACTCTTCAGGTAGCTAAACCCCTTCCCCGATTCTTTATGAACAGGAAGCCTCTGAAGGATGTTCAGGCTCCTCAAGACGCGGCTGTCACCAAGACAGTGGGAATCGGTGAGGCCATTCAGACAGTCGGGTGTGAGGTGAGGCGGGTGAGCGTGACTCGAAAATTAGAAACTGCTGTGCACTCACAGAGAGGTGCCTCCAAAATGAGATGAAAGGCAGAGCTTTCAAAATTCATTTCGAGCTGAAAGCTAATTTCCATCAGAGGTTATATTAAAATAACCCACACTATTTTTTTCAAATAAACATCATACACTTTTTTTTTCAAATAACCCAGGAGATATTTTTTTTCCAGATAAAGTCTGTAGGTACTTCTCCATCCCTCTTTTAACTCCTCGCTGCTCCTGTTGATGTCCTACCAAGCAAGACGGATTTCCATGTTCAGTCATCAGAATTAGAATTCAAGGGACTGCAGCTACCATCCCTCCGAAATGTCCCCACTGACTTCTGGTGCTGCTTCCTGGTGGTCAGGGGAAGGCTCTGGGGGAGGGCAGGGGCCCATGTTCAGCGGGCCACGGCCCCTGGCTTCCCTCCTGTGGTTTCGAAGACTTAGCTCTAAGCTGTTGTTTGGAAGGAAAATAATACCCCTGCTGAAAAACCGTTTGGAAAATGCTGTGTCTGATTTCACAGAGAAGGAGAGTGAAGGCTTGGCCCCGGGCCTCCTGTCACCATGCCGTCCGGGAGAGAAGTGGGACAAAAACGCAATTCCCTTATCATCCTGTCCCTTGTTTGGTCCACTTTAAGGTGATACTTCCAAACGTTTCATTCCCAAATGTGATATGAACCCTTTCCAAAGCCTCTTATTTTGTAAACTCTTTAAGAATTACATCAAGTGCAACTTTTCAGGTGGAATCGACAATCTCACGCACCAGTGTATCTTGCCTACAGTATTTGGCTCAATTCACACACCCTTCATTCTTCTCAGGAGAAATTGGTCACAGACTGAATTTAGTAAATCATCCCTGTGAAAGCCAAACTCGTCTCCCTTCTGAACACACTCGTTGCCAGAGTTCCCAGACCATGGAGAGCTCTGACTGGGGAAATGTGAAGCACTTCGTCAACATGCTTTCTGTTGCCCCCCTCTCCATTTTTAACAATCACCACAGCCTCTATAATTCAAAACTGCAAAAATAATGTCCTATTTTATCCTCTGACGCTGTCACACTTTAGCTCTCTGCCAATGGAAACACTAAGATGCATGCTTTAAAAGCCAAAGGATATTTTTTGAAAGGGAAAACAAATCCATGTCTGCTCCATGGTGAAGAAACCACCCTCTGGAAATAAATCTGCTCAACAGGCGAGATGAATCATTGCATCTGAGGCACCAGTGAACACAGGGTCTCTTCCGATACCTCCCTTCCTCAGAGACCTGGTCCACCTCACGTGGGGACATAAGGTGGTTGCAGAGGACTCCCAAGGGACTTGTGACCAGATGGTCCTAAATGCAAAGGATGCTACAGTTCTGACACTCTGTCTCACATAGCATAGATACATTTCCTCCATAGCTTCTGTAATTCACGCAATCAGTTATTTTGAAATTCCATTTCACCATTGCATAGATAAATTTCCTTACTAGTTTTTACAAC